AGAAGCTTCCGTAAGCAGAGAGAACTTGTTGACGGGCAGGCTGAGCTGGAAGGGGACCTACCTGGGCCTTTTCACGGGAAGAATGATGACGGTCCATATCTGTAAGTCTTTTCTCTAGTCCTGGATGGTTTTACAAAGAGTCCTCTGGTCTTCCATGTGCTGTCTGGCAGCCAGCATCCCCCGCCAAGTGGCAGGCCCGCATCTGATAGGCCCAGGGCAAGAGTACAAATAAAGTCCCACATGCCACATGTCTAAAGATTATAAGCCAAGCTGCTCTGCCAGGCCTGCCTGCAGGGTCCACCCGGGACCTGTGCAGCCTGCTTGACCCAGAGCTTACAGGGGTCATGCCCTCCGCACCCGCCCCGCTGCTTGCAAACCGGAGTGTATAAAGACCTGCTGGGGCTGGACATGCGTGTATCCATTTCCCGGAGCTGCCGTAACAATAGGAATTTACTGGAGAGAGAAATTGGGAGATTCGGATGACATCCAGACACTACTATATATAAAATAGATAACTAATAAGGACCTAGTGTATAGCACAGGAAACTCTACTCAGTACTCTGTAATGGCCTATATGGGAAAAGAATCTGAAAAAGAATAGATACATGTATATGTATGACTGAATCACCGTGCTGTACACCTGAAACTAACACAATATTGTAAATCAACTGTACTCTGATAAAAATTATTTTAAAAGTACAGAAAATAAAAGAAATATTGACAGAAAAGGGAAAAAAAAAAAACATTAGAAATTTACTCTTTCACAGCTCTGGAGGCCAGAAGTCCAAAACCTGCGTATAGGCAGGGCCGTGATTGCTCCAAGGACTCTAGGGTGAATCCTTCTTCGCCTCTTCCAGCCTCGGGGGACTCCAAGTGTCTTTGGCTTATAGCTGCTTATCTCCAGTCACTGCCTCTGTCTTCACGTGGCCTCCTCCTGCATGTTTCTCCTCTGTGCTTATGTGTCTCTGGGTGTCAAATCTCCCTCTGACTTTCTCTTATACGGACACCAGCCGTTGGCTTTAAGGCCCACTGTAAATCCTGGATGATCCCATCCCAAGATCCTTAACTTGATCACATCTGCAAAGACTCTATTTCCAAATAAGATCAAGTCATGGGTACCAGAGGTTAAGAATTGGCCATATCTTTGGGGGGGGGGGGGGCGGGGCGTGGAGGGACATAGTTCAACCCACGGCAGCACGGAAACCAGGGAGGAGCGCTGGTGCCATCAGACGCCCCAAGGACCCGGGGTAGGAAGGGCCCCCGCCGCACACCTTACCTCCTCACTTCTCAGACTTAGGATTTCCAGGCTGTTCCTAGCTCCTTCCAAACGACCCCACTGCAGTGGAGGGAGAGAGGCAGTGCGGTTACAAGGGGGACCCCATCTGCTTAGACACCAGCTTCGGATGGCCTGGGGGGGTGGGCAAATTAAAAACTCTATCTCTGATTTCCCAGGGCTGGGGCTGTTCTTTATTTCCGCCCTTCTCCCTCAACCCACCTGAGAGCCTCCACTCTACACCAGCCATCTTCTGTCAATTTCTACTCAACCAGCGACAAAACTTTCAAAATATTTTCTTAAGAGTTAGAAAAGACAAAAAAAAAGTTTTTGTGTTTCCAGGTTAGAGATGCACAGGGCCTTGTAGAGCAAGGCAAAGCCCGTGGGGCCTAATAGAGGACGGGACTGGGATTCCTCCTCCAGACACAGGCTTTCAGTGCCTCCGCCCTCCCTCCCAGCTCCTGGGCCTCTGAGCCCCATCCAATTGCCCTAGGGGTGGGGTGCAGGGGAGAAGGACACAAAGCCTCCCACCACTCTTAACCGAACCTTCTGTTTTCACCCAGCTGCACCCACACTTCCAGAAGTGCTAGGACCCCTCCACCCCTCAGCCTTCCCAAGGGTCTTCAGCACAATCAGTCTTCTTTCACAAAGGCTTTTCCAAAGGTTTTACTAGTGAGTTGAAACATCTTTTCATAAATGAGCCATTTGTATTTCCTCTTTTATGAAGTTCTTGTTCATGTGCCTTGCCCTTTGGAAATGTTTTGCCTCTTTTGGATTAAATTGCAAAAGCTCTTTTTCTATTCAAGTTATTCACTTCTTGCCTTCACATATGTTGTATATTCTCCAGTTTAATTTGTCTTTCAAATATCGGTGATTTTAACGTATTTGATTTTTATGTCCTCAAAATTCATCGATTTTTTTACTTTACAATTTCTGGGCTCCACGTCATACTTAGAAATGCCTTCTTCACTGCGTGAGTATTCAAATACTTACCCATATTTACTTCTAGCCCTTTTAAGATTTTCCTTTTTACATTTAAATATTTGATCCTTCTGAAGCCGGGTATGGATCCGGCTTTACATTTTTCCCAAATGACCAGCTAAGGGTCTCAGCACCCTTTATTGAACAATCCATTTCTTTCTCACTGATTTCTCACTGCTTATCATAGGGAGTTGGGTCTGTCCCTGGCCTCTGTGTTTCGTTCACTCATCTGTCTTCTTTTTCCTGGGCCAGTAATGCTTTCAATTAATTTCTGTGGCTGTATTATAGATTTCAGTGGCTGAGAAGCCAAGTCTTTACTCTTCTTCTGAATTTTCCTGGCTATCCTTATGCTTATCCTTCAGATAAGCATAAGTCTTAGTGTCATTTCAATTTCCAAAATAAATCCTCTTAGGATCCCAGATGTGCTTACATACCAGAAAAAAATTGTCCAAAAGTAGATTCCACCCTAGAAAAAAATATTGTGCTATAGGGAACTATTACTAGGAAAGAGATGTCCCTAAGTATATCATTATCATTTCCATCATCATCATCGTGTGCTTGTTCCCTAGGAAATAAGAATATTGTTTCAATATCACTTGATCTAAGGAAGTTCTTAACTATATCCAATATTTAGCAGAAATCTTTTCAGCTATAATTTCCACTCCCTAAGCTTTCCTGGTCTTCTGTAGAATAATTTATCATAGTTCTTTTAAAATGACTTGAGAAACAGACTAACAGATATAGAAAACAAACTAGTGGTTACCCAAGTGGAAAGGGAGGTGGGAGGGCAAATTAGGGGTGTGGGATTAAGAGATACAAACTACTATGTATAAAATAGATAAGCAACAAGGTTATCCTGTATAGCACAGAGAATTATAGCATTATTTTGTAATAACTTTTAATGGAGTATAATCTATAAAATACTGAATCACTCTGCTGTACACCTGAAACTAATATAATATGGTAAATCAACTATACTTCAATAAAAAAAGGGCTTAGAATCTGATAGATAGCTACACATTTATGCCCGGGGCTATATTGCTTGTAAAAGTCAAAGGGAATTTATCTTCTCAACAAAACACCCAGTTCCCTGTTTTAAGGTTATCTGAACAAAAAGCACTGTGAACCCAAAGATCTTGAATAGCAAAAGGAAAAGGACCCAGGGAGTCTTTGGTTACAACTTTTACTGAGATAATTGGCCCTTGGGTGAAGCACCTTCTTACAAAACTCTCATCTATTGCCTTATTTATACTCACAGTACTCCAGTGAAGTAGACAAGAGCAGCTTTTACGTCAATCTCCAGTCTCTAAGAAGGAAATGGAGACAAACACAGGTTGGTGACGTGCCCTGGGTCACCCAAAGCCCCAGTCAGTTCGATGTTTAGTGCTGGGTGGTGCTGGGTGGTGCTGGGTGGCTGCATGGCTCAGGGCTCCAAGCCCATCCAGTGTTTTCTCCCCCAAAGCAGATGTCAGACAAGTGGGCCCTATCAGACAAAAGGAGGGGACTCGGGTACCGCTCTTCCCTGAGGGTTGCCACTAAGGTTTTGCTCCTGGAAAGCAGCCTTGAGCCCAGGTGCTGTGACCTCCAGTTGGATATCAGGGACCACCTGGTGGGACCACCAGTGGGCAGAGAGCCCGGGAGAAGCTGCCAGCATCCCCTGCTGCCTCACCCACTTCCTCTCCTGGCATCATCCAGCCAGCCCTCGCATTGTGCAGATACTGCCCAAGCCTCTGCTTAGCTGTATCACCTGGAGCTTTCATCTCTCTTACAAGGGAACCTCTGCAGCCTCTGACCAAGGCATAGGTGTTTTACGGAACCTGTTGACCTCAAGTCAGAGAAAGCCTAGCCTGAAATAAGAATGGCGCTGTTTCTTTCCATCTGTCAGAATTGTTTATTCCATTTGAAGAAAACAAAGGGAAAAAAAGCTGGTTAATGTCAGATTTGTGTAACAGATGCTTTATTTGCCTTCTCTTCTTTGCCATCATTAGGGATTTTTAGCTTTTGATGCTACTGGACTAGAGATTAAGCAGCCTGTGTTCTCCATGAAGGTTATACGATGATGTCTTTTCGAAGATTGGCCTTAAAGGCTTCAAATGACCCAAGGTAGTGGATTAGCAGTGACCAGCGGAAGGCAGGCAGCATGTGGGAACACTCTGTGGGTCAGCCTAAAGCACTTCCTGGGGACGGTCTCTATGCTCTCCCGCTCAGTGTGCAAGGGCAAGGCCACATTACCGCCCTTCCCTGGGGTCAGGGTTTAAATTAAATTAACAGGAGGACACAAAAATGCTGCGAACAAGTAACTGGTCAGCTCTGACTCTAAAACCTTGAACTTGGAGATGATATTTACTCATTGGCATCATTTAAGACACCAGCAAAACAGATGTTTTTCAGAGGTTCTCCAATTCACAGATCATATACCAGAAGCCAGGGTAACATTGCCCATTAGGAGGCCACTCCCTACAACCTTGACTGAATTGCCAGACAAAACCACAGGAATGGGGCCTCATCTGGTTCTCTGACCTTAGACAGAAGAATCAAGTATTTATTAATAGTGACCTGATTACTGTTTTGTTTAGGGTGTGTATGTGTATGTGTGTTTTTGTTCCATAAGCAAATATTTTATTAGCACTTTCATCCTAAATTATTCCAGTACTAAGAAACATCACTCTTTTTCATGGTTTGGGTTTCTCATGTAATGTTGTAAAATGCAAGCTAAGAAAACAAGAAAAATTTTTCTGTTTTTCAGATTCTCAGACAAAGCTTTCTGCAGATGATGAGTGGAAGTAAGTGATTTGTATTTTTTTATAGCTGGTATACTAAAATTAGACTTCCATCTTAACAGTTTGAGAAATTAAATGAAGCCATCATTTTATTTATAAATTTCCCAGGATAGAAGATGGGTTAGCATGGCCATGTGTGCACAGTGATTGTATAGACCAAAGCCACAGGGATTTCATCTGTTTTCTGCAGTAGGCTCCATGCAGTCCCACAAATGCGTATGTCCCTCAATACATGTCCTTGTATGTCCTTGTCCTCTGAGGCACAAGACACATCTGGTTTTCTTTATAGGCTGTTTCCCCTGTGCTGTGGCACCTACTGTGGGACCATTGGACCCCTATGGACACCAAATGAAATAAAAGTGAAATGTTCCTCCTTTTTTGCTTTATGGTTGTCAATTATGAATGTATTCCTAATCAAAGTAGAAATGTTTATTACATTTGTACACTACTTTATACTTTCCAAAGTACTTCCACATAGGTTAACCATCTGAGATGCATTTTACTGTATATGCACAAAATAGATTAATGTCATAAAGTATATTTTGTTTGATATCTATGCAAGCCCTCTTTTAGACTGATGATAAATTCACTCTTCTATCTACATGGCCTAAGTTGAAGTCCACTCATTACAGAAAATATTAAATAGTTATTTGGTATTTGGGGCTGTAAAAACTATAACTAAGTGCTTGTACCCTTTTATTGTTTTTGCACTTCCCATTTCTTCAGAAGAGTGAATATATTTTTAAAAGAGCTTCTAGAAATCATTCTCGGCTCCTAAGCTAAGCTTCCAACACAGAAACTAATAGCCATGTAATTTTATGCAGGTTGCTTACCTGATGTGGATTTCAGCTTCTTCCTTTGATAAATGAAGGGGTCTCAGTACATCTATGGTACCTCCCAACACTAACATTCTCAGATTCCATCTCAGGAAAGTTGAACTCAAGCAGGAATATTTGAGGGTCTGTGGGCTCATTTCTGTGCATTCTCCAGCAGGGGGCACCCCTGGGATTTGGATGGGGCTCTTACTGAGGCAGCTCTGTAGAATTGCTGGTAAAGACAAAGACTCAACCCAGGTACCCAACAAGTGCCTTTAAAAGGTCCCAGAATGTTACCCTGGAGTGCTTTTTGATCAGTGCTCTAACTAAATATATATTGTGACCAGTCATAAGTGGACACTAAGAGATTTTGTGACTGATGGTTCCCCACTTGGGGTGAAAGATAATGCTAACCAGTATTTATAAAATAATTGATTGGCAAGATTCATACTTTTCCCCCTTTTCCCTAATCTTGATCTCGGACTGCTCTCTCCTCTAGGCCAGTGAATCCCAATCTTGGCTGCACCTTAAAATCACACAGGGAACTTTAAAAATTACTGATGCCTGGATCCCATTCTGGAAATCTCTATCAGTTTGCTCAGGCTGCCATAGCAAAGCACCACAGACTGAGTGCTATAACAACAGAAATCTATTTTCTCACAGACTGGAGGCTAGAAGTCTAAGATCCAGAGGTCGGCAGGCTTTGATTTCTTCTAAAGCCTCCGTCCTTGGCTTGCAGGTGGCCACCTTCTCCTTGTGTCTTCCCTGTGGGAGTCTGTGTCCTCACGTATAAGGACACCAGTCATGTTGGATTAGGACCCGTCCTAACAACCTCATTTACCTTAATTGCCTCCTTAAAGACCCCCTCTCCAAACACAGTCACATTCCGAGGTCCTAGGGGTTAGGACTTCAACATATGAATTTTGAGGGGACGCAGTTCAGCCCAGAACACCCAGCAATGCTCACTTCATTGATCTGGGGTCCAGCCTGGGCACTGTGATTTTTAAAAGCTCCCCAGTGATTTCCAACTCACAGACCAGGTCAAGAGCCTCTGCTCTAGACTCCCTTAGAGACCACTTCTGCTGTAGGAAGTTAAACCAGATGACATAATATTTTAGTGGTTTTCTCTACCATTGTATAAAATTAAAGAGTCCAACTAAACACTGAAGCATTTAGCCATCCTCTGAATGTTTGCGCCTAAGATAATAATTAGGCCTCTTCTTTCTCCTTATAATGAAAATGATTTATACAACCCAGGAGTTTTCTGTAGCCCCGCAGATAATATTCTCTTCACAGGCACCATCTGCAGGATATCCTTGTACTTGAGAATGTTAGCAATTACTTGAAATTACCAATATTTGACTGTTCTTTTTTTTTACTTTCAAAAATGGCAATTTCATATGATTCAACCTAATAGCAATTATTATTCTTCATATAGGTACAAATAAAATATATATGTGCTTTACAGTTTTAGACCAATCCTGTGAGGTACAGAGGGATCATCATTTGAGATTTGCAAATGAGGAAACTGAGGCTCAAATAGAATAAGTGACTTTCCCAAGGTGATCAACGTGGCAGATCAGGGGCTAGAACCCAGGTCTTCCCAGGGCCCATCAGTGAGCTTTTGGCCCCATCACTTTCCTTGAAAGGACAAGGCTGAGGCCAAAAGCACACGGGAAAGCTAAGGGCTGAGAGGAATTGGTTTTGCTGACAAACTCAGGCTCCTCCTTTCAGCTGTCCCTTCCCCAAGCCCAGGGGAAAGGGAAGAACCAAGAAGGACTTTGGAAAACTTTGTAATCAAAGCTTCAAAAGCCCTACATTTGAAATTCCCAGTTGCTTCTTATGAATCCCACCTATTTTTCTTGTTCTGCTAAATGTGCAGGAGTTGAGGGCTTTTTCAGCTGACCTCCTTTGCTGGTTCCAGCCTGCGGCAGGAGAGGATGTACAGGATGCACGGCCATGAGTCCGTGCACGTGGAGATGGTCTTGATCTTCCTCTGTGCCCTGGTCATCGCCCAGATAGTGCTGGCGCAGTGGAGACAGAAGCATGGTCATTCCGACAACGTGAGTCACCCCGGGGGCCGCTGGAAACCTGCTCCTCTTCCCACCACATCCCTCCTTTGTCACCACTTTGAAGGAAATGGTTTGGTTTCAGTTGGTGGCTCTCAACCCAGTACAGTTTTGCTCTCGGAAGCAACATCTGGAAACATTTGTGATGGTCACGTCTTAGCGGGAGGGGAGGGGGGATAGGAGCTGCTACTGGAATGTAGTGGGTAGAGGCCAGGGATGCCGCTGAAAATGCACAGGACAGCTCCTCATGACAAAAATGTCAATAGTGCCAAGATTGAGAAACCCTGGTTTAAGTAACCCAATTTTCCTTTTGGGCATGAACTACTTCTGCCAGTGGCCCAGGACAGGAGGATTAGGAATGGCAGAAACAAAAGACTGAGTCTGTCTAACTTTGTTTCATTAGCAATAAACTATCTTGGCATTGATGGTTTCCATATCCAAGGAAGTGTGATAAGGCAGACACTGCGCTGACCTTGGCCACACAGAGCGGGATCCCATTGTCACAGACCAATCCCATCCAAGCACGCCCACTGAAGCCTTCCCATCTCATAGCCTCAGAGTCATACCCTGGGCTTGTTGGACCCGAGACCAGGCTACTGCAATGTGGAGAGCAGTGGTGCTCACATCTCAGGGCACATCAGAATCACCTGGCGGGCTCCTTCAGTCAGATTCCCAGGTCCCACCCCCAGAGTTTTTGATTCAATAGGAACCAAATAATTTGCACATGAACAAGTTCCCAAGTGATACTGATGTTACTGGTCCTGGGACCGCATGCTGAGAACCAATGGTTTAGACCTGAGTATGGCCTGAGTGGAGAAACGTTGCAGAGGAGAAAGGTCCTCAATTAACACTCTCCATGGTTCGGGTCTTGGACTGGTCGTTGTATAAGAAGACTTGCCTGTGACATATGAAGGGCTGGCTTAGACCAGTATTTTATTTTCTTTTTACCCATCATAAATATTACTTCCTACATAGCATGGGATCTAAAGGAATTCTTTTGAGTTCCCTATAATATGTAAATTTAGGTAATTTTGAACATTTATTTAAAAAGGGGAATCTTGGGGGGAGGGGTTTGTTTGTTCTTTAAGCAAATGCATCCATGTGCTGCCATGTCACCATTGCCTTGTCAATTAAAATGAACACCCTCTATATTCCACTTGGACAAATTTTCTTCACTGCGTCCATCAATGTGGAGTTCACACACTGGCTATACCACAGATACACCTGCCCATGAGTCAGAGGTCCCTTGAAGGGCTTGTTGCCATTGGAGGTTCTGACCCTTGGTGGCTCAGGCTACAACTGTTGATTAGCTGGAGTGGTCTGCCCAAGTTGTTTCCTGTTGCTCACTACACAGTTGTACTGCCTAGAATGCCTCTCCAGGGACGTTGCTTTTGACTGTTCTCCACTCCCCCCACCCCAAAACTAGACCCTGTTAGTCACCCCACTTCTCCCTGAGGTTCCTGTTCCTGTGTCCTTCTGTCACACATCTGTGCTATTTTATGGCTACCCAGAGGGCCACTGTGGTCCTAAGGATACCTTGGAGGTAACCAGGTGACTGTGATCGTGGCATCTCTTAAGATGATCCAGTCTGACACTTTGACAAAGCCAGGAGTCTAAAGATGCCCTCGGGGTCAAGGACAGATTTGGGTCTCATTGGAGCTGTGGAGCCATTGGAACTGTTCTGGGTTGGCTCATAGATACAACTGAAAATACAGTGGAGTATATTCTACTTCTTTGCCCATCTGTCCATCTATTACTGTATTGCCCCAAAGGAACAGGTGGTGTAGCCCCCTTCCCCTGCATGTCTCTGATGACAATCTTTAGCTCAAGGTGAGATCCAGCACGTGAGTCTGAGCTTTCCCCATGCTGCGGCTTTGACTTTGCCCCATGCTGTACATCCTACTTGTAGGTTCACTACAAGAGCCAACATCAGAACTCAGCCATTTCAGGAACTCTTGGTGACATCTGCAAACACTGGGCCTGGAAATGGTTCCCAGAGCACAAGTAGCTGATTCCAGCACTGGTTTCCAGCTTTTTTATTGTGCTCTGCATGAACAGGATCCAAAAACCTGAACTTAATACACTGCTCAGTTTAATATCTTTGAGATGGAATTTGCTGAACATGTTTCCACAAAAGCTGACCTAAATAGCCTTATCATCCAAACATAACCTAACTTTTAACTTGTTTCTCTTCTCATTTAAGATTATGTAGGACCTGCTAGAGCTTTGAACATATTCATGAGGTTCCTGGCTCTTTTCTTTTTCTTTTTTAAAATTTTTACATCTTTTTTTAACATCTTTATTGGATATAAATGCTTTACAATGTTGTGTTAGTTTCTGCTGTATAGCAAAGTGAATCAGCTATATGTATACATATATCCCCATATCCCCTCCCTCTTGTGTCTCCCTCCCACCCTGCCTATTCCACCCTTCTAGGTGGTCACAAAGCACTGAGCTGATCTCCCTGTGCTATGCAGCTGCTTCCCACTAGCTATCTATTTTACATTTGGTAGTGTATATAGGTCCATGCCACTCTCTCACTCTGTCCCAGCTTACCCTTCCCCCTCCCTATGTCCTCAAGTCCATTCTCTATGTCTATATGTTTATTCCTGTCCTGCCCCTAGTTTCTTCAGTACCTTTTCTACTTTTTTTTTAGATTCCATATATATCTGTTAGCATACAATATTTCTTTTTCTCTTTCTGACTTACTTCACTCTGTATGACAGACCCTAGGTCCATCCACCTCACTACAAATAACTCAGTTTCGTTTCTTTTTATGGCTGAGTAATACTCCATTGTATATATGTGCCACATCTTCTTTATCCATTCATCTGTTGATGGACACTTTGGTTGCTTCCATGTCCTGGCTATTGTAAGTAGTACTGCAATGAACATTGTGGTACATGACTCTTTTTGAATTATGGTTTTCTCAGGGTATATGCCCAGTAGTGGGATTGCTGTGTCGTATGGTAGTTCTATTTTCAGTTTTCTAAGGAACCTCCATACTGTTCTCCACAGTGGCTGTATCAATTTACATTCCTACCAACAGTGCAAGAGGGTTCCCTTTTCTCCACACCCTCTCCAGCATTTACTCTTTGCAGATTTTTTGTTGATGGCCATTCTGACCGTTGAGAGCTGATACTTCATTGTAGTTTCATTTGCATTTCTCTAATGACTAGTGATGTTGAGCATCGTTTCACGTGTTTGTTGGCAACCTGTATATCTTCTTTGGAGAAATGTCCATTTAGGTCTTCTGCCCATTTTTGGATTGGGTTGTTTGTTTTTTTGATATTGAGCTACATGAGCTGCTTGTATATTTTGGAGATGAATCCTTTGTCAGTTGCTTCATTTGCAAATATTTTCTCCTATTCTGAGGGTTGTCTTTTCGTCTTGTTTATGGTTTCCTTTGCTATGCAAAAGCTTTTAAGTTACATTAGGTCCCATTTGTTTATTTTTGTTTTTATTTCCATTTCTCTAGGAGGTGGGTCAAAAGGATCTTGCTGTGATTTATATTATAGAGTGTTCTGCCTATGTTTTCCTCTACTAGTTTTATAGTGTCTGGTCTTACATTTAGGTCTTTAATCCATTTTGAGTTTATTTTTCTGTATGGTGTTAGGGAGTGTTCTAAATTCATTCTTTCACATGTAGCTGTCCAGTTTTCCCAACACCACTTATTGAAGAGGCTGCCTTTTCTCCATTGTATATTCTGGCCTCCTTTATCAACGATAAGGTGACCATATGTGCATGGGTTTATCTCTGGGCTTTCTATCCTGTTCCATTGATCTATATTTCTGTTTTTGTGCCAGTACCATACTGTCTTGATTACTGTAACTTTGTAGTGTAGTCTGAAGTCAGGGAGCCTGATTCCTCCAGCTCCATTTTTCTTTCTCAAGATTGCTTTGGCTCTTCAGGGTCTTTTGTATTTCCATACAAATTGTCATATTTTTGTTCTAGTTCTGTGAAAAATGCCATTAGTAGTTTGAAAGGGATTGCACTGAATCTGTAGATTGCTTTGGGTAGTATAGTCATTTTCACAATGTTGATTCTTCCAATCCAAGAACATGGACTATCTCTCCATCTGGTTGTATCATCTTTAATTTCTTTCATCAGTGTCTTACAGTTTTCTGCGGACAGGTCTTTTGTCTCCTTAGGTAGGTTTATTCCTAGGTATTTTATACTTTTGGTGCAGTGGTAAATGGGAGTGTTTCCTTAAATTCTCTTTCAGATTTCTTATCATTAGTATATAAGAATGCAAGAGATTTCTGTGCATTAATTTTGTAAACTGCTACTTTACCAAATTCATTGTTTAGCGTTAGTAGTTTTCTGGTAGCATCTTTAAGATTCTCTATGTATAGTATTATGTCATCTGCAAACAGTGACAGTTTTACTTCTTTTCCAATTTGGATTCCTTTTATTTCTTTTTCTTTTCTGACTGCTCTGGCTAAAACTTCCAAAACTATGTTGAATAATAGTGGTGAGAGTGGGCAACATTGTCTTGTTCCTGATCTCAGTGGAAATGGTTTCAGTTTTTCACCATTGAGAATGATGTTGGCTGTGAGTTTGTCATATATGGCCTTTATTAGGTTGAGGTAAGTTCCCTCTATGGCTACTTTCTGCAGGGTTTTTTATCATAAATCGTTGTTGAATTTTCTCAAAAGCTATTTCTGCATCTATTGAGATGATCATATGGTTTTTAGCCTTCAGTTTGTTAATTTGGTGTATCACATTGATTGATTTGCCTATACTAAAGAATCCTTGCATTCCTGAGATAAACCCCACTTGATCATGGTATATGATCCTTTTAATGTGCTGTTGGATTCTGTTTGCTAGTATTTTGTTGAGGATTTTTGCACCTATGTTCATCAGTGACATTGGCCTGTAATTTTCTTTTTTTGTGACATCTTTTTCTGGTTTTGGTATCAGGGTGATGGTGGCCTCGTAGAATGAGTTTGGGAGTGTTCCTCTCTCTGCCATATTTTGGAAGAGTTTGAGAA